AGCTAGAGAGTATTATGCTAAGCAGAATAAGCCAGAGAAAGACAAATACCATATGATTTTACTCATATGTGGAATTAAAAAAAAAAAAAAAGCAAAGGGAAAAAATAAACAAACAAAAAGCAGAAACAGACTCAAATACACTGAGAACTGATGGTGACCAGGGGGGGTAGAGGGATGGAGGAAACAGGTGATGGGGATTAAGGAGCGCACTTGTGATGAGCACAGGGTGAGGTGTGGAAGTGCTGAATCATTATATTGTACACCTGAAACTAATATAACACTGTGTGTTAACTGGAATCAAAAAAATAATAATAATACTAATTGACAGCTTTAAAAAAAAAAAAAAGAAAGAAACCATAAGCCTCCCTCCCCACGATTTCTGTCAATCACTGGTACTTACGTGCTCACAGGCTCCTCGGTTCACACATGTAACCTCCGCCCCTTTCTGTGTCACCTAGGTAACAAAGCTCAATTCCGCACTGGTTTTCACAAGAAACCACCAGGGGCATTGAGCCTTGTACATATTATTATAAATTTACTGAATATTTAGGAGGTTGGGGGGACTGCATGATTCATTGAGTCACCTTCCACACTTTCACTGGTTCGCCTATGCTCCCAACCTTTCTCATCACCTGGGTCCCTCTTAATAGCCCACAGCTCTCTCTCCTTGGACATGAACAACAGTGTCCCCATGTCCAGGATGCTGCCCACCTCCACTGCTACCCCAAGCTGGCTGAGAAGGAATTTTCACAAGGTCAGTCCTATGGGTATTATCCTAAGGAGAAATTTTCATAAGGGATACTAATTGGGGGGGCCTTCACTTTATCCCCCTTGTTTGAGTGACCGTCCCCCACACTGCCTGCTTATGATAGCTCACATTGATTGAGTACACACGAAAGATCTCTGTGCTGCTAAGTAACACATTAAGATTCCCAACCACTCATAACCCAGAGAAGCTATAAGATGTGGCCAAGTCACTCAGCTAAAAGGCATCAGGGCTGGGATTTGAAACCAGGGTGCTTCAAGTGGGAGCCCCATTACCTTCAGCTATACTACAGACACAGGCCAAAATGGCAGTGCCCACCGAGACACCATCCCAGTACTTGGACACCAGGACAGCCTTGAGCTAAACCACAGAGGACACTTCTTGTTGGTGAGAATCATTTCCAAGCCCTAAAGGATCACTGGGAACAGAACACTGGCTTCCCCCATCTTTCTCCTGTTTCCCATACCTGGACTATGTAGGACATCCATGGCTGTGGGGAGACCTGATGATGCTTGGCAGCTCCAGCAGCCCATTTGTGCACACATCACTGGGCTGGATGTCGCCATGCTGCTGCTGCCACCTCCGGTCTCGTGAATCCTCCCATCCTCAAGTGGGAGGATGGCTCCGATTTAGGATTAGAAGAACCCTGCACCCTTCCGCAGCCCTCTGGGCATCATGGGAGAGTGACCTGGAAAATCGAATGCAGAGAAGTGTCCCGAAATATAGGAGTCTTGTTTCAGGCACAGTAGAACCTATTAGCTTGAGAAATTGGTCTGGAAATCTTATTGAAAGAGACAAATCATTCCGCCTTCTCTCCGGACTGAAAATATTGGGGGTAATAGACTTTTTCCCTGATGCCTGGGACCCATGTACCTCATGTCAGAATCACAGCCAACCTCTGGCAAGGCTCAATTCAATGCAGGTGATGAAGGCTATTATTTTTTTTAATGGGCAGTTCTGATTAATTCTGATTTCTTTGGCTAGCCACCACCTTACCTCTACCAGTCCCCATTACTGTGAAGGTTGCAAGCCAGAAGAGCCAATGGCAAAGAGAAATCAAGTTCAGATTGTGGGTTTGTCATTATGGCACAGCTCAGCAGATAACTGTCCAGCACCCCCACCATGCACGCACACCCAGGTCCTTTCTCAACGTGCCCAATTAACCCATGATGGACACAGGAAAGCAAGGCACCATTGCATTATGAAACCTAGCCTTGCTCATCTTTGCTATTTAAGAGGAATGATAAGAAAAATCCTTCAAATGTATGTGTTAGCTATTATCATTATGTTGGTTATGTTTGCTGGACACTGATATGTTCCAGAATAATGTGACTCACTGGAATTTAGTGGATGCTTATTCCATGCCTGGCACTATGCAAAAGGCTTTCTTCACATGTGTCATCTCTTTAGATGTCCTTGGAACAACCCTGTAGGTCAAGGGTTGGCAAACTTGCTCTGTAAAGGACCAGAAATATTTTAGGTTTTGCAGGCTACTTTGGGTTATGCAAGGTATTCTCAATTACTCAAATCTGCCATTGTAGTTTGAAAGCAACCACAGATAACACATAAATGAGTAAGTATGGCTGTATTTCAATAAAACTATATTTACAGAATAAGCCAACTGGCCAGGTTTAGCCTGTAAGCCATTGTGTGAACATGTTATTCCCAAGCTGGAATTTGGGCTCTTTTCTCTCTCCTATATCCTCCTTCTTCCTCCCTGCTCTTCCATTCTGGTTCTAGTTCTGGAGAAAAGATAGAATAAAAAGTTGTTTTTGCATGTGACTGGCCAGGGACAGTTGGCTGATCTCAACAAGAGGGAGAAGGATCATTTTCATGAAGATCCTGCATCCATGGTGGCCATGGGGGGGTGGCCATCAGATATCCCTGGGAAATCCCCAGATTTCCCAACTCTGGGGCTATAGACCTGGACAGGGTCTATCTCCACGCCCCTTCAAAACTGGGGATTTGAGGAAGCCTGCTTTGCCCCTCTCTGAGCCATAACCCCTGCCACCTACCTGAATATTCTTTCATCAACAGATAGAGGGGAATAAATTACTGTCTCACCTTGATGGTGCTATAAATATAGGGAACAATTTAGGGTCTTAAGCCAGGGTTTCTCAATCTCTGCTCTGTTGGTATCATGTAGGATGGTTAGCAGCATCCTGGCCTCTACATGCTAGATGCCCATAGCAACCCCCAGGTGTGACCTTCAAAAATGTCTCCCGACTGACAAAACCACCTCTGGCTGAAAACCACTGTCTTTGGTCAAAGGGCAACCACGGCCTTTTGCCCTCAGCTGTAGGTTCTAACTCCCAATTCCAGAAAAATAGGAAAGATCACAGGCAGGATTTCTCAGCACCATGTCACATGATCTCTGGTGCAAGGTAAGCATAACTGTCCCCATCTTACAAAGGAGAAAACAGGCCTGGGTCACAGCAAGTGAGCAGCAGAGCCAGGATGGGGACCCAAGCCTGTCGGATGCCAAGGCCTATGTGTTTCTTAAACTAGTGATGATCTGATGATGAGAGGGACACTGGGAAGGTTTTTCCAGAATGGGGAAGTTTGCCTGGGTTCGCATTGAACTAGAGACTGTACTTGCTCTTTCTAATCCTGCCAGCATTTCAAGGGAGGTATTATTCCCCCTTGCTTTACAGAGGAGGAAACTGAGGCCCAACAACCCTAACAAATGGTTTGAAATCAACATAGCAAAGATTTTTAAGTCCACGGTTTCTGTGTTCAGAGCTTTGACTTTTCAACAACAAACATGGGTGGCTGCTCCCCAACGGGGAAGTGGGGTCAAGTTTCTCACCTACTACTCTACCTTCCTAGCCAGCATGTTCTGCAGGCAGTAGGAAAGGGCTTGGTGATAAATGAGTCCAACGCCCGCCACCCCTCCCTCGGACTCTCTCTCTGACCTCTCCCTTGCCCCAGCTCTGTATGCAGTACTGGCCTGAGAAGACTGCCGGGTGCTACGGGCCCATCCAGGTGGAGTTCGTGTCCGCAGACATCGACGAGGACATCATCCACAGAATATTCCGCATCTGTAACATGGCCCGGGTAAGCATCCAGCCCGCCTCGGCTTCCTGTGCCGCTCCTCCCCAGCCCAGACAGAGGCGGCCTCCAGCCAGCCAGGAGTCTGTGCTGTGCTCTCCTGATCATCCCATCCTTGGGGAAGTGATGCTTCTGCCGATTCTGGCTTCAGACCCAACAATGGCTCCAGCGCTCAGAGACGCATAGGGAAACCTCCAGCCTGCCATCTGTCTCTTTCCTGACACGCTGTCTTATAGTCAGAACTTCTCAGAAATCAGTGCTTCCCACTGTGCTGTGCTGTTTTGGCATGAGGTGACAGGGTCTTTGATTGGATCCAGTAAGCTTTGGGCTAGACCCTGAGAACACCAAGAGGGAAAATAATTAGTTGCTTCCGTGGAGAAAATTCACTGGCTAGGTGGAGGAGAAGTGGGTGGGAGGGAGCAGATGAGTAGTCTATGAAATAGCTAAAGAACGACTTTGGTCTTTACTGGGGGTCCCAGGGTGAACAAAAACTCCATCTCTGCCCTCAGTTCACTGTCCAATGGGAAGGTGAGCTATGTTCTGGCACGTGAACCTTGGGGGGAGAGATGAATTCTGCCCAGTAGAGTCAGGGAAGGCTTTTCCTAGAGAAAGGGACATTTGAATTGGGTTTTGGAAACCAGTAGTTTTCCAGGGAGAAAGGGGGTGCAGGGAAGTCATGGCAGGAGAATCCACGTGCACAAAGGTAGAAAGAGGAGTGTGTCCCCATGACGACACAGCGTTGACACCATTCAGTCTGTCTCCCACTCCAGTGCTGCAGCCCCAGGGCCTGTGAAGGGCTTGCATCCCTGGCAGAACAGCCCTAATGGCCTCTCTGTTCTCAGCCTCAGGATGGGTATCGTATAGTCCAGCACCTCCAGTACATCGGCTGGCCCGCCTACCGGGACACACCCCCCTCCAAGCGCTCTCTGCTCAAAGTGGTCCGACGGCTGGAGAAGTGGCAGGAGCAGTACGACGGGAGGGAGGGGCGCACCGTGGTCCACTGCCTGTGAGTGCTATGGAGGGTTCTCTGGGGGCAGGTGACTGGTTTCTGTCCTGGAGGATGCCACTGACCATGGGCATGCCTGGCTGTACCACATCTCAACATCCCTTAAAAGCCCAGGGGTGTGTATTCAAGAAATTACAATCTTTCATGGACTGGGGTTGCCCGTCTGTTACCCTGAACTAACCAAGGTTATGTGACGTGTTATTGATGCAAACCCTGGTGGCCTTTCACAAACATCGGGGGCGGGCAGGCTGCCCCCCAGCACTCCCAGTAGGGAGGTAAGCTCCACTCCCCCACAGGAGGCACGATGTGTCCTGTTAGTCGCAAGAAAGCTAGGACAAAGTGGGTTCCACTGACCAGATCCTCCAATTATTTCCTAAAGAAGGAAAAGAAGAAAGAGAGGGACAGGTGTTGATTGATGCCAGACATTTTAAGTGAATCTTAAAATTAAAATACCATCTGCGAGGTAGGTGTTATCATGTAGTAAAAAACAGGCACAGACAGGGGAAGGGACTGGGCAGTTAAGAGAGGAGCTTTGATTTAAAGCCACTGGCCTCCAAGCTAATGTGCCATCTGCTAACCCGCACTGCCTCTGAGTAAACCAAAGGACCCATCTACCACGTCACCTTGTGGGGTCATCTCTTGCTATGGGCGTAGTGGGCACGCAGGGACACGGGGAGCCTGTGGGGCAGATCGATGGCAATGAAGAGCCCTGGGAACACTGTTTCCCACAGCTCAGTGGGCTCAGGTGGGCTGTGTTTATACTTCCACTGCTGGGGCATGCTGGAATCTCTACCACCTATCTTAGAATGGGCATGGCTAGGGGCACAGGGGTTCCCAAATAGACCTTGATGCCCAGTGGAGGTCAGGACCCTTAGGAGACTGGGGCTGACAAGCTGTCATCAAGAAAGTCACTTAATTGAGTGAGCCTCAGTGTCCTCATCCGTCCAGTGGGTATGTTGAATTAGGTCATCTTAAGACCCTATCGTGCTTTGGTAGGAAATAGAGAACAAATACAGTTCATCTACCAACATACAGACCCACAATATCATGGTAGCAAATATGCACCTGTTGTAAAAGTGATTACTTCCGAGAACCTGTGTCAGACCCTGCCAGAGGAGTATAAAATGACCTCAGAGAAGGATCCTGCAAAGATCTCGAACCCAGAACACATGTGCAGCCCCAGCCATAACAGCCGTGTGTGCAACATCTGACTGACAACCATCGCTTTGCTGCCTAGAATGTGGAGGTTGGGGGGAGGTGACTGAGCAGGCCCTACTCTCTCAAAATGTCCTGTCAGAGGACTTGGGAGCAAGCTCTTCCCTTTTCAGAGTAAATATTTCTGGAGCCAGCAGAGGCATTAATAACACCTTACTGACCTCAGAATCGAGTTCAGTCTTTACAAAACCAGCTTATTATTCCCACCTTTCAAACAAGTGGTGCATTCACATGTCAGGAAAACCAGACAGGCACGCACACACACAGCTTAAGGCCACCACCTATCACAATCCTTTCTTCTCCAAGGACGCAAATCACAAACCAGGGACCAGGAAGATGCTGTGAGCTGTGTCACGCTGATGGGCGCTATCAGCCAAACCAAGCTGGTTCTGCCCACATCCCAGAACCTGGCAACTAGCCCCTGCCCCCTCCAGTTCCCTCCCGCACACTCAGGTGGCCTCCCCTCGCACACAGCCACAACCGTCCCCATCCGGGTCTCAGTCCACCAGGCCCTGGAACACCTGTGCCCACTCACCTCTTCCTCTTGGACTCTGCTGTTCTTGCTTCGGAAAGTACTGAACCCTCCTTCTGGGTGGGGGGGGGTCCGTTGTTCCTCCTCTGCAGGTGATTGTTTTTTAGCCCAATTTTTGGGAGAAGTACTTTTTTATCCAGGTCCCCCCTCGCCAAGGTGACCCACAGTTTGAGCCCAAGTAAAGCACAGGCATGTCCTCTTACCAACGGGGACCATGGCATCCTTGGAGGCCAGACACAAGAGACGCCAAATGCAGGCACTGGCCAGTGAGTGGAGGGCAATTGTCTGTACCCGACACATCTGCTTGTTGGGTGTCCTGTAGATAAAACATCTGGGAAACCGAGCACCTTAGTTTCCATCCAGATGTTCTTTAGACATAGGCCATTACATGCAATCATTAGCTGCTCTTGGCAACACGCCCAGGAGTTCCAAATCAGGCAGATTCCTAAAGGGACTTTCTGTAAATACTTGGAGGGGTGTTTCCACGAACAGGAATTATGGAGCACCGGAAAGGAGAGACAGAGAGGTGACCTGCCAGGAGCCCTGAGCTCTGCTCTCCCAATCAACAGGGTCTTGCTTAAACCAGGGTGCCCAGAGACCTATCGTTTCAGGATAGAACATCTCAGACCCACCCAGACCCACCTCCAAGCCTAGGCTGGCTGACCTGAGGCTGTTTCTGTCCTTAGTGGATGGAAAGAACTAGAATGAAAACCACCTGGAACCTTCCACGGTCTTCACTGGATGTGTAGGTGGACCCAGAGCCTCCTTTTGGACAAGGATGCAGGCACCACACATACAAAGACACTGTCACACTGTTTGGGTCAGTGTGCCATGGGTGACTTTAACATGCTCATAGAACCAAGGAAACATCAGGCTAATTGAATTCTCAAAGAGCATCTAGTCCAACCCCTCCATTATATGAATAGGAAAAGACTTGCCCAAAGTCAAAGCAGGTTCATGGCACCAGCAGAACTCAAACCACTAAGGCTTTTGCCATAGCCTGACTTTTGCACGTACTGGGCCAGCCACTGCCCACTACTCCTGATGTGGTTTTAGGATCATCAGGTGCCTGGGGGGTGCCCAAGCATATTCACTCACCTCTGTCACTCTGTGTCTAGAAATGGGGGCGGCCGCAGTGGGACCTTCTGTGCCATCTGCAGTGTGTGTGAAATGATCCAGCAGCAAAACATCATTGACGTGTTCCACATTGTGAAAACGCTGCGTAACAACAAATCCAACATGGTGGAGACCCTGGTGAGTGTCCCAGGAGGCTTCTCCCGTGGTGGGGGACTGACCCTAGTTCCCTGATCTGGAGAAGACAGCCTCAGATAGTAAAAACACCCAACAGCTGGCTGCGTACAGAGTCCTGACGGGCCACAGCCTTGGTACACAGTTATTTCCTGCAAGGCAGCCCAAATACTCATCCTGATACACTAATCCTGATACCACGAATTCCGGCTTAGGGGAAGGGATTCTGGCTTAGGAGAGTGTGCATTGTATTTTCAATTCAGTCCAATCCTGTTCTAATTAACGTATGCGACTTGCACAGCGTAAGCACAGGGCTCTGACACCGTGCGGAAAGGGATGGACAGTACGTGGGCGGGCGGAGCCCAGGTCATCAGGCCCACTGCACAAGGAACTTTGCTCAGAGTCTTAACCGACTTGAAGCGTGGTCCTACTCAAACTCCAGTCCACAGGCCGGCAGCATCAGCATCACCTAGGCAGGCCCCTGATAGAAATGCAGAATCCCAACCCACTCCAGATTTACTCAGAGTCTGCATTTTAGAAAGATTCCTGGGCCCTTCATATGCACCTTACAGTCTGAGAGGCACTGGAGTCCAGAACGGTGAAAAGGAAAGGAATGACCCACTGGGCACCTGGGAAGGCGTGGGTGTAAGTAGGCACGGGGCAGAACTTGGGGGGATGTCCAGATATGGATAATTACGTGGGTAATTTTGAGTTGACTGTTAGTAGGGATGTAGATAAAGTTTCCTCCAAAATCTGCGTCTCTAACCTAAATGCATTTCCCCTTTCCTTTGCATCTCTCTCTCTTGCCTCCTCTACTCCTTCCCTGCCTGTCCCCCTCTCAGGAACAGTATAAATTTGTATACGAGGCGGCACTAGAATATTTAAGCTCCTTTTAGCCTGATGGGACGGGGAGCCTGCTGGAGCCCAGAGGCTGCTGCAGCCAAGCCCCCTTTTCTGTGAATGACAGTGACTGGGCTCAGGGGCTAAGAGGCAGCACCCTGCCCAACTCCAAGGAGAAGACTGGTGGTCCCGTGTTCCGTGGTGGGCTCTGCACCTTCCAAGGGGTCTCCTGTAGCTGTGGGAGATGCTGCTCTGAAAGGCCCAGGCTTCCCTTCCACACCCAACCAGCTGTGGCCACAGGCCCGTGCAAAAGTGCGCCCATGGCAAGGCCCTGGATTTTTCCGTTCCCAGACCTCCTGCTTTTGCTCTTTTCAAGTTTGTGAATCTCCTGGCAAGCCGACTGTGTGAGTGTTGGGGAGTGACAGCCTCAGCAGCACCTCCCTGCCCTAGTTGTCCTTGGGAGTGGAGGGGGTGTGGGTTCTACTCCTCCATGCTGTCGTGGAAATGACTGGGCTCTTGGGGGTCCCTGCGCTGCTGCCCCTTGTAGTCTCCATCAGGGATCTCTGGCACTGGACACCTGCCGGTCTGGATCAGTGTGAACCTTGGGATGCTCCCGACACCACAGCAGAGGCCCCCATTGTCACACCTAACCTGCATGGGGCTTGGCCCGATACCATTCTGTACCCCTCCCCTAGCCCAGGCCTTGACCCGTCATTCACTGGCCAGCCCACTGTGTCCATAGCCTTTGATAAAGGTTCTCTCTGCTTTTTTGTAATCAGTGGGACGGGGGAGCATGGAATTTTGCTGCTCTTCCTTGTCTTTGTGAAAAGGAACCAACTCTCTGGGGCAGGGCTCTGGCTGACCTTGTGTCTTTCGGGTGGTGGATAAGATTTGATTATTTTCCAAAGTGCGTATGAAAAGAAACTTTCTTTGGGGGTGTAAAATCTTAGTCTGTTATGCCAAAATAAAAGAGAGAGGGAAGTTTGGATGTGTCACTATAAGACAAATCTCTCAGGCCGCTAATCTTTCCTGGCAATGTCCATAAAAGATCCCACCCTGGAACGGCACTGCTATTGAACAAGGGAGACAGGCTCATCTGAGGACAGTCCCTTCAGTTTGTGGGGCAGATAGAGTACCAGCTTTGTGCATCATCTTGAATCTCCAAATTTGGACTCCCTCCTAGAGAAACCCCTAGCTGCCATCGTGAGAAAGGCCACAGTGGACCCAGGTATGTGGTCAAGGAGATCACAGCAGGGATCTAGGATCTTATCTAAAGTATGGGTAAGACAGTGACAGGGAACCAGCATTTGCTAAGCACCTGCTGTAGGCCAGGCTTGGCACGTTCCATGTGACATTTCACATGGTCCTAGACCCCCATGAGAGAACTACTAACCTGTGATCATCTCTACTTCATGACTGGGGAAACTGAGGCATCTTCCTCAGTGATGAAATTCTGGGTTCTGAAAAGGCAGACATTGGTGATAAGACTTATTCATACTGTTTTCTTCATCATTCTCAGCAAAGCAGTTATTTTATGGAGGGGAAAATAAGGCTAGAAACTTCCGAGCAGAGAACTCCACAATGGAAATTTAATTATTTCTTTCTGATGTGAGTTCTTCTGGGAAGCCCAGAATTTCAGATATATTTTTAGTAACTCCTTCCCGGCTCCCCAGGAAAGCTAGTCTCTTCTCATTTCTTCACCAGTGAAAACAGATGCCTGTTCCCTCAGGCTGTGAGGTCGGCCAGCCAGGGACATGCTCTCTACCTTGGTCTCTACTGGGTGCTCAAGCACAGTATCTGGCAGCCTCGGGGTGGCCTGGGACCTAGGAAGCTCCGCTGGGAGGCCGGTCTAGCCCCAGACAGGGGATGAGGAGCACAGAATTCAAGAAGGCACAGTTTTTACACCCAAGAGCTCACTGTATACTGGGGAGATTGCCCCCCAGTGCCGAGATGGTAGAGCTTACGAGTATTATAGGAGCCTGGGAGCAAGACTCTGCCTGCCTAGGGCTTCCTAGAGGAGATGGCATCCACTCCAGCTGGATCTCAACAGGTAGAAAAAGGAAAGAAAGGAAATCAGTCCCAGGAATCAGGATGTGCAGTGGCAAAGAGGTGTGAAAACTCCTTGGGATGGGGGCCGGCGGGGGGGCACACGGTATGGTGGCAGGTGAGCCCAGGTGGAGCACAGCACTACCAGAGGGGTGGCAGGAGATGAGCCGGGGTCAGGGAGAAGAGAGCTCACCTGGAGTACAGACTACCCCTGTGGGCAACAGGGGGCCAGCAGAGCTCCCGAGTGATGTGCTCGGCTCAATGTTAGAGAAGACTCTCTCTGGAGCCAGTGGGGCTGCCTCTTCTTTCATCAGACACTGTGAAAACATTCCCTGAAGCGCGTGCTTTTTAATATCACATCTGTTTGTCTGTCTGCTCATTATTTTGTTGCTGGAACAAAATACGCAGTGGATCATAAGACTCAGCTTCTGTGAGACACTCAGGGTCTCTGCTCTACCATGGAGCAAGATGACCAATCCAGGCCTCCAGACCCATGAGGCTGGGACATGAAAGGAGCCCACAGAAGCTGTTCCCATTGGCCTGGGCTCTGGAGCTCTCTGGAAGTCCAGGGACACCAGACTTGATCACGGAAGGGCTGTCACTTTGGAGGTTCAAAAGGAAGCATCTCAAAGGGAAGGAAGACAAAGGAGACCCCCCCCCCAACAAACTCACTCTTCTTTGATGGGTCTCTTCCCCACTGTGCTTGAGCAGATCCCCTGGCTCCAGTCCATGACTCCAGTCAGCCCTCACGCTGCCTTCAAGGAGCTGGTAACAAAGCAAATCAGCCTTTCCTATGCTCTTCTCTCAGATCATGGCTCATCCCTGCAGAATGGGGGAGGGGAGCTATCCAACACAAAGCCCAAGATTATTCTGCTCCAGAAGGGGTGACAGAGCTGGCAGATAAAAACGACACTGGCTTCTATCATTTCAAACGGTAGGAATCTAAAATGTGACTTCAGGGAGAAGGGAAATTGGAAAAACTCAGGCCACGGTGGGGTACCTGACCCAACAAGGCCAGCGATGGTTCCCCCAGCTAAGCCCCCGATTTCCTCAAAACCTAGCCACTCTCCAAAGAGGGCAGGGCAGTGAACAGGTCTTGGGCCCATTTACAAGGGATGAAACTAAGGCTCATGATGGGGATATCTTCCCGAAGATCCCACATGACATGCATATGGCAGGGCTTGGATGAGATGGAGCACCAGTGCCCTGGAATTTGGACTTGATCCAGTCCTTGGGAAATAAGAGCAAACACCACCTCCCCCAAGCTATCTTCCCACACTGCTCCACCTCGAGGGTGGGCCACCTTTCACAAGGCAGAGGAAAATGGTATCCATGCTGTCTGAGCCTCCACAGCAGGAGCCAGCCTCTCATCTCTGGGGTGCCAAAGGGAGCGCCCCCACTTAGTACAGAGCCTCATGGTCACCTTCTAGTTAGAACCCTGTTTGGAGGAGATGTGAGGAACTAATGAGAAGCCAGGAACCATCACCAGCTTCATGCATTTGTGGCCTAGATGGCTTCTGGAAGTATCAGCTGTGCCTCCACGAGTGCCCTTTCACCCTTTCCAGGCCTCTGGATGACCACAGCACACCTCCCCTCGTGCGAACAGAGGGATCAGATTGCTTTTCAGGCTGGCCCTCTCTTTGTGTGTGGCCTGAGCAATGGCCTGCCAAATGTCAGCCTTCCCATGGAACCAGCAGAACCTGTGTTGGGGACGCTAACCAGTGAGCTCACCGAATTCTTCCAACATCCCTAAGCAGTGTTTGTGTTTGTCACCATTTTACAGATGAGGAAACGAAGGCTCAGAGAGGAGAAATCACTTGCCCACAGTTCCCCCAGTTAGTGAACAGGGGAGCCAGGAATTCAATTTCTTCTGACTTCAAAAACCATATTTTTCCACCACTGTGTCTCAGATTTTCCCATGGGTCTACCCATAATGGCAAAGAGTAGAGTGGAAGAGAAACCCAGTGGGTCTGGTGAAGCCCAAAGCAGACAAGCTTAAAATTCCTTCACAGTCTCTTGTTTCACTTTAACAATTCATGCAATACTTGCATTCCACTCTAATTTGCCTGATTTGTTTTAACAGGACTATTTTTTAAATGATGTGCCCTGGTCCTTCCAGTGGCTTTGGTCCCCTCAACTCTCTATGACAGAACCTAGGGAATCATATCCCAGTCTCTGAGAGGCATAGTGTCTGGCCATACTGCTTCCTCCTGAGACCAATTCCAGACTCAGGCTCAAGACCAGCTCAACTTCCCCTAGACAGATGCTTTGGTGTGGGGGTACCACGACCTCACCATTCATGGTCAATCTCAACTCAAGTTTCTTCCAGTTGCACGCTGGAAGAAACCCACTGGAAGGCATATCCTGGAATGATGAGGATATGCCCATCTGGCATGGTGAAGGCTGAGCCCATAATACCCTAAAGGGAAAGGAGAAGATGTGCACAGCCTTTCTGAGCAGATTCCTGAATGCTGGGGCTTCTAGAAGGTGATGCCCTTTGTCCAGGTGGAGTCACATGGTTACTAATGTGGGCAAATCTAAGGACATGCTTCACATGAGGGGCTGGGGCCTGGAAGGCTTCTCACTTTACTTCAACTGCACATACATACTGGGTTCCTGCAACGTGCCAGGCAGGGCACAGGAAGCACAGGTTATTATGGCACAGTTCATCCCTTGGCGAGGTATGGGGTTGTGGTTGGAAGAGCTTAGTCTTCAGTTCACATCTCAGCTTGGCCATTTCTTAGCTATACAATGTTGGGCCAACCAATTAATGGAAAAGATGTGAAAAAAGGAGCCTCAGCTGGGTAGAAGGCATAGATTTGGAGAACTTTGGGCAGGAAAATAGGAAGGCAAGGCCAAGGAGTTGGGACCCAACAGAAATACTCGAGGATGCACATGGACTACAGAGCAAAGTAGTCACTTCTGTTGCCCAGAAGGACAGGGGATGGGGAGGGCTGGCCAGGACCACTGGAAGCAAGGATGTCGCTTTAGAACAAGTTTCAGTGTCCTG